ACACTGTCGCCAGTGCAATACAGCATCATCATATAACTGGTGTGGTGGTGATCAGGGACACTGACTGGTGACAGTACGAAAAAAAAAATATATATAATTTTTTTCAATTGTTTTAATTTTTTTTTTATTTTTTATCTTTGTAAGATTTGTTTTCATATTACACTATGATCAAAGTAGTATAATGTTACCATAATAACATTGTACTACTTTGGGGAAGTGATCAGTGTGTGTATGTGTATATATATATATATATATGTGTGTGTGTGTATATATATATATATATATATATATATATATATATATATATATATATATATATGCAAGCATTTAACTGAATTAAATTGATTCATTCAGGTTTTTTTGTTGTGATTAGCTGTGATTGGCCACGACTAATCACATGACACAGATGGGCTGTGATTGGCCCAGCCTGTGCATGTGCTCAATGTGACCATTCACAGCTAGACACACTTGTGTACAATGGATGGCATGAAAGGAAGCCATCAATTGTTTACAACTGTCATGTGACCTGCTGTGATTGATCACAGCAGGTCACATGGTACTGGCAATGGGGCCAGTACACATATCTATCTTCGGCTGTGTACATATGACACCCTCCCGGATGGACAAGAGTCCCGCCCTGCCTATAGTAAGATGATGAAGTGGTTAATTCACGTTACATGTGTTAGAGCACTGGGGTGCACCAGCACACTAAGGGCCCATTCACACCAGCAGGCACGCTTAATAGTGAAAAAAGAAATAAAAGTAAAAACCATCAAAAATGGTCTGGCCACTTGAGGTTAAAAATGGAGAGCAGGGCCTGGACGTGAAAGATTTAACCTCACCTCACACTTAAAAAACTACCTCTTTTATTTCCACTGAATCCAATACATTTAGCAAAATCTCATGATTTTTACCAGAATTTTGTGAAATTTTGCTTATCCCTGCTGGCACCCTTGCATCTGTTCTTTCCCTCTGCCTTCTCCTGGTGATTCGGCCAGGGCGGCATTGAAGCTGCTGATAGCTGAGTATAGACACTGACAGTGCTGCTGTCCAAATCTGCCCCCTGTTCTCCTTCACCATGAGTGGTGTCTGTAAAGTGCAGAGGGTGTGTTGCTGGCTGGATCACTAGGAGAAGGAGGAGTGAAAGAGGCTAAAAAAAGAAAACGAATGCAGCCGCTACATCTAATGATTGTGTCTGCATTCAAATAAGGAGGAACTGGCTTCTACTCAAGAGGATCTGAGCTGGCTGTGGCTGTGTAGCAGTGGAGAACTTATGGATCCCTCTATGCCATCCATGTCTGCTGAGAGGAAGGTGGAAGGATTTCTGTCTTGGTTGATTGATGTCTAAATTTGCTGATGGGAGGGAGTAATTTGCAGTCCTACCAGGGAATTACTTTGTTATTGTTATAGCATAAGTTCACCATTTTACAAATAATAATAAATACACATTTTTTTGCAGGTAAAAAAAATGTGCGTTTTACTATTTTTTATTTTAGAACCCTGTAAAACATTGAACCAGAGATCAGTAGATCACTGGTGCCATGCAGGTCTCCTGCCGACTATTAGTGTAATCAGCCTGTTTGTACCTTGTATGAGAATATATTATATTAAGGAATCAACAGCGCCATGGTAGTTCATTAAGAGCTACAAGCCGACAGCCACAAAGGGTGTTGGTACTTGTAGTTCATTGATTCGCAGGATTCTGTGAATAAATGACGCAGCCTTGTAGCCGGAGCCCTGCATGGTCGTGCTCTTTGAATTTTGGCAGTGAGTACGGAGAAAAGATCCTCAGCTATCTGCCACAAGGATGGGGCAGGGATCTGAGGGAAAGGGGTCTGAGGCTGAACATGTTACATGTTACACCCTAAATATTGGTATAACATGGTCAGAAATGTGAACTTGTCCTTTAAGAACCCTCCTATACAATGGGATGGTCCTATAATTGCCTGGAAATCTTAAAATTCCATCTTAAAATGGAAGTCCACCTTGTAAGTTGTGCCTACAGGTAAGCCCAGGGGCGGACTGACAACTCATGGGGGCCCCGGGCAATAGGGGATCATGGGGCCCCTGTGTCCTTGCCCAAACTCAAAAAAGCCTATGAAAAAGGCACCAGGGGCATCTCATGGGGCCCCCTACTGACCTCGGGCAGTGCCCAAGTTTCCAAATGGTCAGTCTGCCCCTGGGTAAGCCTATAAGAAGGCTTACCTGTAGGTACAATGAAAAATACCGCCTAAACTTCCACCATTTAGGAGATGTCACTGGCGCATACGCTCTGAAGGGACGGCACAGCATGCTGGATCTTCAAAGCTCCATGACGCAGCCGAGGGCACCCACACAGGAGTGACATCATTGCAGCTCCATCCTTTCATACTGCCAGAGCCCATAAACCCGGAAGGAAGACCAGGTGAAGATGGCAGCGCTGGGGAGTCATGACAGCATGGCACTGGAGGGCTCTGTGTAGAGGTAAGCCTGTCATAATGTACTAGTATGCAATGCATACTAGTACATTATGACCTAAACCTGCAGGGGGCCCATTATTTTGGTTTTTCAAGTGGTTTACTGCTGCTTTAAATAATGCAGTATACAAGAATAAATGGAGGGAATCACTCAGGTCCTCTCATTTTCAGGGGAGTAGATGATGGATCCTAAATCTACTTTCCAATATAGGAATAATGTGAAAAAGTGAAAGTACTATACACTCCACAGTTATTAATAACGTTTGGCCAGGCTCTGGTAGGAATTGGCATGCATTGGGGGATGCATGGCACACTTGAATGCTAAGTGAATTAGATTTGTATCCCAAGGTACAGAGTTAGTCTTTTTTTCTTTTTGTAAAAGTAGAACTGTCCTTTTTGTTACACCTTTTGGTGAAGCAACAGCTTATGATGTTCCAAGTATGGTTTCAGAAAACAAGGAGGGGACTGTGGTTCCATCTGGACTGTGAAGATCAGAGAACACCATGGCTTCCTAAGCCAATCCTTCATACCAGTTATAGATGCTGGTTTGCAATGATATGACTAAACTGTGTAAAAACCAAATGGCTCCAGACCTAGGCGGCAGTAAAGCTAACCAAGCAAGAACAGTATTTAACCCCAGAGAGTAGTGACATTGTGTACTGTAGTAGAGTGGAGAAATTTGTTTACCTTGGAGCATACTTTTAGCTGGAGTGTTTTACAGTTCCTGAACACAATAATTGCAGCAAGGATACTTCAAGATCAGCAAAATATTTTTTATGTCAGTTATTCTGCATTCAGGAGCATTGCTTAGTTCATGCTACTTCATTCGTTTTTCAGTTGTTCTTTCTAAGGACAGTGTTCTCAATGTTCCTGACAGTTATTGCATAAATAGAAACCAATAGGATCAAGATATGATATATTTTACCCCATTTAAGCTGAACTTCTGGCATATACAAAAGGCACATATTACATTAAATTTAAATATATTGCAGCGCTACCAGTCCTTAGATGTGGTGGCTGCATTGGTTTTCTTTGTTTAGGTTTTCTGTTTTCACCAGGTGTTCTGGCCAGTAACACACTTATTGTATTAGAGTGTCCCCACTTTTGGATGAGGGAGCACAGCAGGCATCTTTGGACCATTCTCCCATTGACTAGTATCAATAATGGTGTGTTATAGAGCAGAATTAGAATTTTTATATGCCTTAACTGTCAGTGGATGATTCAACTCACCAGAGTACACCAATAACAAACATCAGTGTTAGGAAGACTGTTTAATGTGCCGCATGTTATTTGCATAGAAAAACTGATGTCAGGGAACAGTGCTATATAAGAACTTGTATGCATCAAGCAGCTCTCACTGTGAAGAAACCTTTCCGTGTTTGGAGATTAAATTTATTTTCTTCCAGATGTAAAGAGTGCCCCCTTGTCCTCTGTGATGACCTCAGGGTGAATAGCTCTACACAGAGTTCACTATATGAACCCCTGATGTATTTATACATGTTGATCATATCCCCCCTTAATCTCCTATTCTCAAGAGAGAATAATTCAGTTCCTCTAATCTTTCCTCATAGCCGAGCTCCTCCATGCCTCTTATCAGTTTGGTTGCTCTTCTCTGTACTTTCTCCAGTTGCCCAATGTTCTTTTGTGAATTGGAGCACAAAACTGAACTGCATATTCCAGATGAGGTCTTACTAATGATTTGTACAGGAGAATTATGATATCTCTCTGTGAAGTCTATACCTCTTTTAATACAAGACAGGATTTTGCACACTTTAGAAACCGCAGCTTGGCATTGCATGCCATTATTAAACTTGAGATCTACCAGATCTCCCAGATCCTTCTCGACCATTGATTTCCCCAGTTGTACCCCCCCCTAGTATGTATGATGCATGCATATTCTTAGCCCCCAAGTGCATAAACCTTACATTTATCAACATTAAACCTCATTTGCCAGATAGTTGCCCAATTAAACAGTGCATGTTAGGAATGGACTGGCCAGCAATGGTGGGACTCGCCTGCCTTTTGATCTGCAGTACCAGGGCTGGCCAGCGGGTGCTCCCAGCAATCAGAGACTCAACCTTTCAGCCAGCTAACACCTGGAACTGATGATACTGGTGTATTTAAGGGATGGCCAGACTTGCAGACTCTGCCTTGGTGTTGTGTTTGTCCTGGGCCCTGTATCTGTCCTGCATCCTGTTTCTGTTCCTTTGCTGACTTCTCCTGCTCTGATCCTGGCTTGTGACCCTGACCATCCCTCTGTCTGACCCTCTGTACTATGCTGCTTGCTACCTGCTGAACCTGGCCTGTGACCCCGACCATTCTCCGCTTGCTCCCCCTGTACCTACCTGCCCTATTGATATTGACCCGGCCTGCCTAACGACGCTTGCTTGTATATACTGTTATCTGTGGGTGGTTTGGTTTGGTTTGTTTGCACCGTATTATGTTTTAGTATTGCACTGCGTTTATGTTTGTACTGTTAGTGTTAATAAATTATATTGTTTATAACATATCTGAGGTCTGCGTTTCCCTGCTTCAGTCACACACCTCTGGTCATACCTGGGAGCCCTGACATTACACCAAGGCCAATCCTGACCAGAAGTGGCTGCACAGGGAAGCCATCTTGGCTTGTTGATGGGAAGGATGGATCTTGAGGAGGTTGAGTATTTATATCTGCTAGTGTTTGATGACAGGGAGTATGCTTATCAAACTCTGAAGGAGTATACCCGGGATGAATTGCTAGATGTATACGGCTCGCTCATGTTCTAGTAGATCAGGGCACAGTGTTCTCTGAGGTGCAGCCATTGATTGAGGTTTGTGCAGAGTTGGTTTCATCTGGTTCCCCCGAATGCAGGGATGAATTTTTGCCACCATTTAGTGCAGACCAGGTAGAGTCCCTGGTGTGGTTATTAGAGGATGATGTGGGTTACTTTCTGGAGCGTTATTCCACATGTTCACCACAGACACTGAGAGATTGTATAAAACGCAGTGCAGTCATTGACCAGACAGACTTTGTGTAAGCTCAGCTTTGTTCAACCCCTTACTGCAGAATGGACAGATTTGTTGCACCCAGCCTCAGTCAGCTTACAAAGACCCAGTCCTGCTTCTAACTCTACTCCTGTATTCCCACCAGCTCCTCCAGTTACAGCCCAGTATACTTGGCTATCTACCGCATGTCAGTACCTTGTTCCCTCTCGCTGCACCGCTTTCACCACTCCTGCACATGCCTGATGTCACAGCCCCCCCTGTTAATAAGCCTCACCTATCTGTAGCACACTGCTTGCAAAGCTCCACAGTAAGCCAAACTGCAATGTTGCGTTCAACTAGTTGGTCCATGCTGTACTTCTGGAACTCTACTCCCCTGTCCTTCCCACCAGAAAAAAGCGAAACCAGTTACCATCCATTATTAAAAACCGTTTGTCTACCTTGTGGTTTCTGAGACTTGCTCCCTACAGCCTGATGTCAGTTGCACCCTGTTCCCTACTACTCAGCCTGAAGCCCTCACCTCCCTGCCTTACCTTTAACCTGTATTGCTGTAAAAAAGCCCTCAGTAAACTGCTCGGGTCCACCTGTCAGTACCCTGTTCCCATCGTCTGCACATCCTGCCTTTTAACCCTGTAAAAAAAAGCCCTCCTGTAGTTCTTCTGTTCCATCCTCAGTTCTTCTCTGTCTCCAGCTGCTCCATTCGTTTGCAGACCTGCGTTTACTTGCAGTGCTCCAGTAGTTAAAAACCAGAAAAAAGCGAAAATTCTTTCCAACCAATACCATCCTGCCAGTATCCAAACCGGTGAGCCTGCCTTCCGTGGTTCAGACTGATGCCTCTACTCGGCCTGATGCCTGTACTCGGCCTGATGCCTGTACTCGGCCTGATGCCTGTACTCGGCCTGATGCCTGTACTCGGCCTGATGCCTGTACTCGGCCTGATGCCTGTACTCGGCCTGATGCCTGTACTCGGCCTGAAGCCTCTACCCAGCATGATGAACTGATCCAGCCTGACGATCCTATTAGGCCAGTTGACTCGATGCCCGCCGTTGATCCAGATGATCCGGTACCTGATCCGGTGCCCGCTGTCGTGCCAATTGACTCAGAGCCCGCTGTCGTACCTGGTGACTCGGTGCCCACTGCCTTGCCAGATGACGCGGTGCCCGCTGGCAAGCCAAATGACCTGATGCCTGGTGACCTAGTGTCCGCTGTCATACCTGATGACCCGATGCCCGCTGTCGAGCCAGACAATCCGGTACCTGATGACCCGGTGCCCACTGTCGGGCCTGTTGACTCGGAGACCACTGCCTTGCCAGATGACGCGGTGCCCGCTGTCGAGCCAAATGACCTGATGCCTGGTGACCCGATGCCCGCTGTCCGGTCAGACGATCCAATGTCTGACCCAGTGCCCGCGGTCATACCAGTTGACTCGGAGCCCACTGCCTTGCCAGATGACGCGGTGCCCGCTGTCGAGCCAAATGACCTGATGCCTGGTGACCCGATGCCCGCTGTCCAGCCAGACCATCCAATGTCTGACCCAGTGCCTGCGGTCATCATACCAGTTGACTCGGAGCCCACTGTCGTGCCTGGTGTCTCGGTGCCCGCCGCTCCGCCTGGGGGGTCCGAGACCTGTCGCTCCACCTGGGGGTCCGGCGCCTGCCGCTCCGCCTGAGGGCCCGAGACCTGTCGCTCCGCCTGGGGGTCCGGCGCCTGCCGCTCCGCCTGAGGGCCCGAGACCTGTCGCTCCGCCTGGGGGTCCGGCGCCCGCCGTTCCGCCTGAGGGCCCGAGACCTGTCGCTCCGCCTGGGGGTCCGGCGCCTGCCGCTCCGCCTGAGGGCCCGAGACCTGTCGCTCCACCTGGGGGTCCGGCGCCCGCCGCTCCGCCTGAGGGCCCGAGACCTGTCGCTCCATCTGGAGGTCCGGCGCCCGCCGCTCCGCCTGAGGGCCCGAGACCTGTCGCTCCGCCTGGGGGTCCGGCGCCCGCCGCTCCGCCTTGGGGGCACGATGCCTGTCGCCCCCGCCTGGGGGCCCGATGCCTGTCGCCCCGCCTGGGGGCCCGATGCCTGTCGCCCCTCCTGGGGGCCCGATGCCTGTCGCCCCTCCTGGGGGCCCGATGCCTGTCGCCCCTCCTGGGGGCCCGATGCCTGTCGCCCCTCCTGGGGGCCCGATGCCTGTCGCCCCTCCTGGGGGCCCGGTGCCTGCCGCTCCGCCTGAGGGCCCGAGACCTGTCGCTCCACCTGGGGGTCCGGCGCCCGCCGTTCCGCCTGAGGGCCCGAGACCTGTCGCTCCGCCTGGGGGTCCGGCGCCCGCCGTTCCGCCTGAGGGCCCGAGACCTGTCGCTCCGCCTGGGGGTCCGGCGCCTGCCGCTCCGCCTGAGGGCCCGAGACCTGTCGCTCCACCTGGGGGTCCGGCGCCCGCCGCTCCGCCGCCTGAGGGCCCGAGACCTGTCGCTCCATCTGGAGGTCCGGCGCCCGCCGCTCCGCCTGAGGGCCCGAGACCTGTCGCTCCGCCTGGGGGTCCGGCGCCCGCCGCTCCGCCCGGGGGCACGATGCCTGTCGCCCCGCCTGGGGGCACGATGCCTGTCGCCCCGCCTGGGGGCCCGATGCCTGTCGCCCCTCCTGGGGGCCCGATGCCTGTCGCCCCTCCCGGGGGCCCGGTGCCTGTCGCCCCGCCCGGGGGCCCGGTGCCTGTCGCCCCGCCCGGGGGCCCGGTGCCTGTCGCCCCGCCCGGGGGCCCGGTGCCTGTCGCCCCGCCCGGGGGGCCCGGTGCCTGCTGCTCCGCCTGGTAATCCGATGTGCCTCTGCCCGGAGTCCTGCCCGATGTGCCTCTGCCCGGAGTCCTGCCCGATGTGCCTCTGCCCGGAGTCCTGCCCGATGTGCCTCTGCCCGGAGTCCTGCCTGATGTGCCTCTGCCCGGTGTGCCTCTGCCCGGAGTCTGCCCGATGTGCCTCTGCCCGATGTGCCTCTGCCCGATGTGCCTCTGCCCGATGTGCCTCTGCCCGGTGTGCCTCTGCCCGGTGTGCCTCTGCTCGATGTGCCGCTGCCCGGAGTCCAGCCCGGTGTGCCGCTGCCCGGAGTCCTGCCCGGTGTGCCAGTCTTTGATATCCCGCCAGTTGCCAGACCCGGGCGGTGGGACATTTTGCCCAGCTAGGACTGTTTGGAGCGTCCTGAGGCCGCTCCTTGAGGGGGGGGTACTGTTAGGAATGGACTGGCCAGCAATGGTGGGACTCACCTGCCTTTTGATCTGCAGTACCAGGGCTGGCCAGCGGGTGCTCCCAGCAATCAGAGACTCAACCTTTCAGCCAGCTAACACCTGGAACTGATGATACTGGTGTATTTAAGGGATGGCCAGACTTGCAGACTCTGCCTTGGTGTTGTGTTTGTCCTGGGCCCTGTATCTGTCCTGCATCCTGTTTCTGTTCCTTTGTGACTTCTCCTGCTCTGATCCTGGCTTGTGACCCTGACCATCCCTCTGTCTGACCCTCTGTACTATGCTGCTTGCTACCTGCTGAACCTGGCCTGTGACCCCGACCATTCTCCGCTTGCTCCCCCCTGTACCTACCTGCCCTATTGATATTGACCCGGCCTGCCTGACGACGCTTGCTTGTATATACTGTTATCTGTGGGTGGTTTGGTTTGGTTTGTTTGCACCGTATTATGTTTTAGTATTGCACTGCGTTTATGTTTGTACTGTTAGTGTTAATAAATTATATTGTTTATAACATATCTGAGGTCTGCGTTTCCCTGCTTCAGTCACACACCTCTGGTCATACCTGGGAGCCCTGACAGTGCATTGAGGTTGGCTTGTAAGTTGAAGACATCCTGTAAGGATGTTGTTCCACTGCACAGCTTGCACAACCACTGTTTACATACCAGCATGGGGTCAACGCTTGTGCACGCAGGGTGGCAAGGGTGCTTTTTTTTTTTAAGTTATTTTGATTTTTAAAATTATTTTTACACTGTCCCTTTCATTTTTTTTTTTTTTTTTATCACTTTTAATGCTATAACAGGGAGTGCAAATATCCCCTATAACTTCAATGGGCATTGTCATATATTCTTCTTTTTTGAGAAATCTGGGGTCTAGCAGACTCTAGATATCTCCTCTGCCCTTACATCATCTTATGTCACCAAGATCGGTGTGATCAGATGCTTTCCCAATTTACAAATGGTGCTTTTTATATCCTGTGAAACTGAAGTGATGAAATGCTCCTAGCTTCCGATTTCTTAGACTATAGAGATTTACATTCTGGTCTCTGACCAGCTCTATGGTCAGCCAGCGGAATTCAGCAGCTAATTGGCCACTAGGATTGTTTTTACCAGCTGAAAATAACAATACCAGATTGATGCCTGTTGCTGCAGTCATCATCCCGGTATAACCACTCAAAGTCCAGCGACATACCAGTACATTGATGGTCCATGTTGGGCATATATGTAACAGCAGAGAACACGGGCATACGATGAATTGGCTCTGTGGATCAACATGACCGCAATTCATTCTTTTCTGTAATGCCCATACTGAGGGTTAGGCCCAAAAAAGTTTTAAATTCAGAAACCATGGTAGGTTTCCATGCAAATTGTCTGGCAAAAGCTGATTTTGAGTGGGCAGCCATGTATTGTTGTGTGTATAAATTGCCTTGGCCCACAGTCAATTGGTACAAATATTCCGTGAAAAACAGAGGAGGGGCTAAACACTATTGCTGGCAGCGAACGGGGCCGATCCTGCTAACTCTGCTTTTTTTGTGGACACTATACAAAGGAGGCACTAGTATAGTTCTGTTCATGATCAATATACTGACCTGTACAAACACTAAATTAGTAATGGCAGTGATCACAACCTAAAGCGTGAGTGCGATAGCGAGGCAATCTAACGCTAGCTGACCCTGGCTGGGAGGGACGCTTACTGACCCTGAAGCTATCTGATGTCACTAGTGGCAGGAATACAGTGATCAGTGAGAAATTCTTTATACTGACACTGGTACTAATGGCACTGGCTGGGTGACGTTGTGATCAAAGGGTTAACAGGGGCCTGTAAAATGTAGTGGTGCTTTTACTCGGTGCTGTGTTCTCTCTTTTCTCCTTGGACTGACAGGTGGGGGGCGCAGGTGTGTTCATACCCGAAAATTGGAAGTGACACATGATTACGATGCTTTACCAAAAGCTGCTGCTCACCCGCAAAATGCGAGTAAGCGGCTGGCAAGTAGTTAAAAACCCCCCAAAAACTCTTAATTTAAAAAAAATTCTCAATATGTTTTTTTTTTCTTTTTTACATTTATTATTTTTTAATACTTTTATCAGAATAGTACAATATTACCACAGTAATCTTGTACTACTGTGTGTGTGTGATATCAGGGATTATTTGTATTTTTTTTTTTTTAACTTTGCTTTGCAGGAGAAATAAAGATCATTTCTCCTGCAATGCAAAGCTTGCTGTCAGAACCGAGTTAAGTTTTGACAGCTCAGGATAGTGATCTGTGATTGGCTGGAGCTGGTCACATGGTACAAGGTGCTATGATTGGCCCCATGTATCATTTGACAGCTGTGGGCCAATCACATCTCACTAGGAAGAGAAGCAGAGCTGTTATGAATGACATTGATTCATAACAGCTTTGCTTACATAGTGATCATGTGATCGCATAGCGATCACATGATCACCGGGTCCCATTCACCGGGATCTTCATTCTGCTGTTTGCTGGACACAGCAGTCGTGGAGGGGGCGCGCAGCAGCACCCCCTTGTGTTAGTACAGCCAGAGCAACGTAAGGGTACATCGCTTTGCCTGTAGCTGCCGCCTGGTAAAGGCAGGAAGTGGTTAAGTGCCGGCCAAGGATCCAGGAGCACCATCCAGCGATGCTGTCAGCAGTCTGTCAAATTCTATTCTTCTACTGTGGATTTGTTTATAAATGATTTTTTCCGGCCCTCAAATATGTGTAAAATATATGATGTGGCTTTTGAAGTAAGAAGTTTGGAGACCCCTACTCTAGAAGATAAATAGGGCAAAGCTAGAAGAATTATAATAAAAATGTTTAACCATTCCAGCTGCTTTGTTTGGCTTAAGCAGCTGATCCCCTGCAATGCCAAGACAGAGGACTTTATAAAAAACTTAATTCCAAAGGCTAGATATCAAGATTAATTAAGATCTTCTGGATGTCAGCCTAGTGTCTGGTTACATTTAGACACTTTGGTAGTATCTGTATGGATAAGGAAATGTCTAGTTTGGGTATATCTATTTATATAAGTAAGAAGACTGAAATACTGAAATTCATACTTTTCGATTTGAAAATGTACTCTGGTAATAAACATACCGCTTAGCAGGCAGTGCATTTTAGCACAGCTGTAAAACACATTAACGAAAGGACATTTGAAAAACAATAATTTCCAATGTGTCCTATTGACACCATAACATTGGGTTGCGCTAAAATGCAAAATGTATGTCAACGGACGTAAAAATGTATGTCTATGGACGTCCACGCACGTTAAAACATATCTAAAATGGACAGAAACAAACAAGCATTTTAGTGCAAGTCAGTATGAATTGGCCCTTAGTTTGTTTTAGAAATGTTGAGCGTCAGGCAACAGGTTAGAGAAGAAGAAATAGATGTAACTGACTCAACTGCTATGCTGCAGAACATAACTATATGCTGTGTGTGTTTGATAACGCTCGGCCGATAGAAGCAAGACAGCCCATATATTTATGCTATTCTTTATTCATTCAACCAGCTTGTAAGAGGGGCTCTGTAATTGGCTAGAATTGGTTAGAAGTCTCCACCCTCACTCCTATTCTGCTAGAACAGTAACCCTCCACCATATTGTGTCCCATTCCAGAGGCCTCCACAACGTACCCAGCCATTCACCTCTATATCCCAAGGATAGAATGTCCACACATGAGTAGATTTGCTGAACTTTACTGATGATTTCAGGGAATGGCATAACAGTCACATCACATCGACATTCATTTAGG